GGTAGGGATGGGACAAGAGGGAGGGGGATGGTGGGGATGGGACAGTTGGGATGGGACAGTGTTGGGGGGAAGCGGGGACGGGGCAGCAGGGAGGGAGCTGGCAGGGCCGAGCTGGTGGCCGCGGAGCAGCTGGGAGAGGACGGTGGGGCCGGGCCAGCGGAGAGGCCTCATGTCCAGCTGTGACTCATGGAAAGATCCTCCCTCTGCCCACAGCTTCCCGGCAGCCACCTCCTCCGGCTTCCTTCCCCAGGACAGGCGGCGCAGGCAGGGCCGGGTGCAGGCAGGGCCGGGTGCAGGCAGGCGCTGAGCCCCCCTTTTTCCCCACTCTCACAGCTGCAGTTCCCCTTGCCGGAGTTCATCCTGGCCATGGGCTTCTTCCTGGTGCTGGTGCTGGAGCAGGTCGCGCTGGCGCAACGGGAACCGTCGTCCATCCCGGAGGAAACGCGGGCTCTGCTTCCCACCGGTTCCATCCAAACCCCTTCGCCGCAGCCTCCCATCGCCGGCGCCCGCGGCGCCGTCCGCGCCGGGTTGCTGGTGCTGGCGCTGGCGCTGCACGCCGTGCTGGAGGGGCTGGCGCTGGGGCTGCAGGAGGCGGAGGGGGCCGTGCTGCCCGGCTGCCTGGCCCTGCTGCTGCACAAATGCGCGGTGGCCTTCAGCCTGGCGCTGAAGCTGCTGCGGGGTCGCCTGCGCTTGCCGGCGGTCGTCGCCTGTTTGGTTCTCTTCGCCATGATGTCGCCTTTGGGCGTGGGGTTGGGGACGGCGGTGGCGGCGGGCGCGGGGCCGCGGCAGCGGTTGTGCCGGGGGGTGTTGGAGGGGTTGGCGGCCGGGACCTTCCTCTACATCACCTTCCTGGAGATCCTGCCCCAGGAGCTGGGGGTCCCGCAGCACCGCGTCCCCAAGGTCATCCTCCTCCTCGCCGGCTTCGCCCTCGTCACCGCCATCCTCTTCATCAAGATCTGAGATGCCCCCTCCCCGGGTGCGGGGGATCCCCCCCACCCGCAGGACCCCGGGGAAGGGGGGGTTCCCCTCTGCACCCCCTCCTCCGTGCAAGTGCCAAAGTGCCGCCCCAGGGGCCGTCCCCGGGCCCCCCCAGCCCTCCCGGGCGGCCCCTGTGCCTCAGTTTCCCCCCCCGCACAGGGGGAACGGTGCTGTCCCCGCCGCGGGACCCCCAGGGCGGGGGCGGTGAGTGCCCCCCACCCACCCACAAGTGCCCTTACAGCGCGGGCGGGCGCCCTGGGGTGCGCAGCCCCGGCCCCCCCGGCCCCCCGGGAC